TCTACAGAAAAGTCTGGCGAGAAAAGCCAAAGAAGAAGCCAGATTGTCGAAGATTGAAGGTCCTTGTGCAAAAAAACAGAAATGTGACAACCTGGCTTTCGATGAAGTTGAAGAAGTTGAAGAAATAAAACAAATCAATTTTCCACCTGACTCTTCAGAAGAGTATAAACCATCCACACCAAGCCAGCTTAGAAGACATTCTCCATCAAATTTTAGAAAAAGTGTTAAATTGCCTAACTTAGCCCAAGCGTGTGATCGAACTGGAATATCCGATCGATCGGCTTCACTGCTAGTCAACGCTGTTCTCCAAGATTTGCAAATAATAACAAAAACAAATTCATCTCAAATAGTGGATAGAAGTAAAATTAGGCGCGAACGAACAAAAAGAAGAGCCCATCTTCAAAATAAGTCTTTCAATGAATTCACAGCTGTTCGTGGACTTTATTTCGACGGGAGAAAAGATAAAACAATTCAACAAGATAAAAAAGGCACAAAATATTACAGAAGCACTGTAACAGAAGAGCATGTTGTCTTACTTTCCGAACCTGGTTCACTTTTCTTAGGTCATGTGTCACCAATGTCAGGAAGTGCTAAAAATATAACACTAAGTATAAAAACATTTTTAAAAGATGCTGATTCAAATATTAATGAGTTGAAAGCTATTGGGTGCGATGGCACGGTTATAAATACAGGGTTAACTAATGGTGTTATAAGGCAACTAGAATTGTTCATAGGTCGTCCATTACAATGGCACATTTGCTTGCTGCACACCAATGAATTGCCTCTTCGCCTTTTAATTCAATTCCTAGATGGAAAAACAAGCAATCCAAGATGCTTCTCTGGTGAAATTGGAAAAATGTTGGAAAACTGTGAAAAACTTTCTATTGCTGCTTTTGAACCTATTGAAACTGAATTACCCTCAATTCATCAAAATGATTTGAGCACCGACCAAACTTACCTTTTTGATATATGTAATGGAATTATGAAAGGAGATATACCGCTATCTTTGTCTCTCCGTAATCCTGGAAAAATGTCACATTCGCGCTGGATAACAACTGCTAACCGTATTCTTAGATTATATGTTGCTGTTCAAAATCCGTCAACGGCATTAAAAGTGTTAGGAAGGTATATGTGATGAAGGTATATGCTCCTAGTTGGTTTGAAATAAAGCTGAAACCTACCAATAAAACAGGATCAAATCATTTTTTTGGAATTATTAAAAAGTGTCGTTATTTACCTGAAGAGTTAAAAAATTTATTAAATCCGGTTTTACAAAGAAATGCTTATTTTGCTCACCCGGAAAATATTCTGTTATCGATGTTGGCTGATGAACAAAAGCACATAAGGGAATTAGCTTTAAGGCGGATATTAAAATGCAGAGCTAATGATGCCACTCTAAATACTGTTCGAGTCTTCAAAGTTCCAAAGCTAAACTTTGATGCGATCAACTATTACGACATGATCGATTGGCATGCAACCGAGATCACAGAGCCACCCCTTACAAAAGATATCACAACTGAAGCTTTAGAACAGATGATAATGGATATTCCTAATAACATTGAATTTTTGAAGTTGCCTTGCCATACTCAGGCAGTAGAAAGAATGATAAAATTAGTTACAGAAGCGTCACTTTCAGTTTGTGGAGAAAAAGCAAGAGATGGCTTTATTCGTACTAAACTTGCATCTCAAAATGATATACCAAAATTTGAAACTAAAAAACACTTCATTATTTAAGTCTTTGATGTGAACTAGTAAACACTAATGTTTTGTTTTTCAAGATTTAAATGATTTATTTGAGTTAATAACATGTTTAATTTGATGATATTGTTTTGTTTACTTTTGAAATGCAATTCATAAACAGTCTCCAGCCGAGAGGAACCTCAAAACAATGTTCAATAAAATTCAAAATTTACACATTGAAATAACTCGATAAAAGACATATTTCCCAACCCCAGGAAAAGTAAAAAGAAGAAAAAAATTTTTTTATGTATAAATTCGCTCCACCCTAATATACAAAGGTAATCATTAACACCTTTCAAAGTTCGATTGACTCATTTATTTGATGGTGTGCATGACTCTAAAATAACATGCTGTGTCATATTTTTGCAATTATTACAACAACAGCAAGTTATTAACATCATTATTACTAACATTTTATTACTATTAATATTATTATCAGTAATGCTATTAATATCAAGGTATTTTTTCAATCTTAGATGGTTTGCTTGAGATAGGAGCAAATAGTTTTCATTGTGCACATCACTTCATATTGCATTATATACACATACACATATTATACGATATGATTCATGGATTCACGATTCATTTATTATTTGAAAATGATAGGATCTATGAAATTTACTTATGTGTTGATTCTGTTCATTTATAAACATTGAGTCAGTTTCCAATGAATATTATTGAATCTGTGTGAATGTGTGACTCTTTCACAAATTAAAGTCACTTTAATTAAATAAAATAGAAACAATAATTAATTTTAATTAATTAATTAAAAATACTAATTCAATTTTTGGGCACAAAAAATCAGGAATTTAGATAACTTGTCCGTTGGCAAATTCTTCGTTTACCAAAAGTAAAATTAGAGGCAAATTTTCTAACATTTTTTTGTTCTTCATACCAAAAAATTTCTATTTGGTTTTGCCACATGGCACGCGCATGCACACATGCACACAAACATATACATATGTATTTACGTGATTATTCCTCTGTAAGTTGAATTCAGGAATTATATTGAGCATATAAAAATAAGAGAAATAGCAGAGCGAAAAAATAAAAATTATCTGCTCCCTTTAACAGACACATAAGAGAATAACAATAAGTAAATGCTGTCTGTGGCAATGAACTTACTAAGTTATCACTGCTGTTATTGCTATCATGTAAAATTTTCATCCTAGCATTAACATCATCATTATCAGTAGATACTATGATATTATCACCAGGAGCAACACAAAAAATGATTAGACATATAACCACAACGCCAAACAAGCAAGTGAAAGATATATCACCATGGCCTCCTATCCTTAATTATTCATGTAGCAATTACCTATTTCACAACCAAGTTAAAAAGAAGACAAGGATTAGTGTTAATTAAGTTTTCTAACTCAAATTACTCTAATGTAATTACGCAATTTCTAATAATTAAAAGTTATTACTGCTCACTTTTTATACATACTGTTGAAACTTAAAAATGTTAAACTTTAGAATTAGAGAAAAATCATTAATACACATATAAATGAGTGAATTCATATAAAATATTAACCACACAAATATATATAAATCAAATGCAAAGGCTAATTAATACATTCGTGCACCAAGAACCACATTTTATAATGCATAATATTATCTTACAGATAGTTAATACAAAAAAAAAACCCAAAACAGTATTATGGTTAGTAAAAATAACAGCAATGCTATAACAATAATAATAATTTTCTTTAAGGTATAGAAATAGATGTATTTCTTGCACATGAAAAATAAAGCAAGAGAGCAAGCAAATTATTGGATAATTACAAATAATGGGATTGTACAGGATTGCCTATCTGTATTTTTGTTTGTGCATGGTACATAATTTATGTGCGCGTATGTGCGTATGTAGGACTGTATGTGTGTATATGTACTGGCACAAACATGTCAGCAATATTAAAATGTTCATTAGCTGTCATGGATCATGTTGAGTCCAGATACATAAATTAAAAGTTTAAAGAAATACAAACCATATAAAATAAACTAGATGCTACAATACAATGCAATACAACAATTCAGTGATGTTGAATGAATAATTTGTTTTTACAATACAAATACATGAAGCGCAATTTCAATGAAAAAACTCATAAAATATGGTTTAAAACATAAAATTAATGTAACCAAAAAGTCAGGATAATAAGTGTATTAAATAGATCAAGATTATTTTTAAACATTAATCAGTTATGCTTATGTTACAGTTATACTTAAAAATTTAAAATCACTAAAATTAAACATATTATGAAGAAATTTAAACACAAATACAGTTCAGTCATATAATTCCATCGTTATAATTAATTTCCCAAAACTAAATAAATATGAATAAAAATAAATATATAAATAATAAATATATATATAAATAATAAATAAATACATATATAAACCTTTCATATTCACATGGGCCATTCATCAAAGTTGACATCTAAAATATCAAATCATGTTCACCTTGAAAAGCTAAAATGTTAATTCGTTATAATTAATTTCCCAAAACTAAATAAATATGAATAAAAATAAATATATAATATTTATAGCATGTATAATAATATATAGCATGTTCTCTGTTATTATCCTATGTTTTTACTTAATTCATAAACGTACGATTCATTTTTTGAACATTTATTTTCATTTTTCTTACCAGATAAGTGGTTTTTTTTAGCCCTCTGGTTTTGTGAATAAATAAATAAAAATAAATAAATAAAATAATATACATATATAAACCTTTCATATTCACATAGGCCATTCATCAAAGTTGACATCTAAAATATCAAATCATGTTCACCTTGATAAGCTAAAACCTTACTGTCTATAAACATTTCAACATTCCTTGAAATTAAAAATGTGAAACATGACAGTTCATGAAGCTAATGAACTCTCCATCCCTGCCAATAACTGAAGTGTTCCTATCATTTTAAACTTTGTTAGTATATTAATCATTGCTCTCTTTCTACAGTGCATAGATGCTAAATAAAGCATGTATCTACAGTAAATGTATAGGTATCCAGATCATATGTATCATATCTGCAACTAGTGAAATGTTGAAAAATTCAAGCAGGAAAATAAAATTTTGCATCATGTAAGTGCAGGAAAGCAACGCTGACATATCATATTTATTACAAAAACAAATAATAATACTGGAGTAAATATTATCACAATAATAATAATTTTAAACCCTGCATGTTGAATATTATCACCCTTGACATTATTTACAAGAGCTGGAAAAGTCAAAATGCATTGTACAATAATATACTAAGCAAAAATTTTAAAAATATATATTTATTAAAATATATATACAATACACAAACAACCAGGTGTATTAGCAGATAACAGAAACATATGCCGTAATGTAATCTGTACCATACATTTACATGTATGTCTGTAATCTGCACGAAGTCATTCTGAATGAAATAATAATAATAATAAAAATTGGACCGGCTTGTCCCTATAATAATGCACCTTATTTCTAGATACATTCAGTCTAGACTGGTTAGTTCTCACTCACTCACTATCACTTACATTCTTTTTTGAGAGAGAGAGTGTGTGCTCGCTTTTTCATTGTTATTTCTATTACCAGGCTATCCTAAGTTAAAACTCATAACATTATTCTTATTGTTAACTATTGATGATATTATTATAAATAAAAAAAAAAGATTCTTCTTTTTAGTTTGCAGCCAATGCCACCTCTGTCAAGAACTGCAAAAACTTAACTAGTATCACACATTTGACGTCACATTTAAATACCATTATCCATCCTCACAATTACTACAACCACAGAAAATGTATCAGTCAGTTGTATCATTTCCAAGACATGGTAATAATTGTTTTGAACAGGTCTTTTTTTATGTTTTACACTAAATGTAATTTTTTTTTCTGCCTTTAAACTATAATAATAAACTCACACATATCCATAATAAAATCATGGTTAAAACTGTAGAGAATAAAAAGAAAAATTGAAAGATCTCATAAGATTCTAAGATAATGAATTAAATTTTTACATAAAGGAATGTTTCAGTATGTATGTAAGATGAAAGAGATATGCACTATTGAGCAGTACAATGGACATGATGGATGAATGCATCAAAGGAGAAAATGGGCTCATCATAAATTTTTACTTATCAATATCTTAATAAAAGGCCAAAAATATATATATATAATATAAATGAATTAATATTATATGGAAAAAAAATTTTGTTGAGAGTTAATTTCTACATGTGTAAATGCACACACAAACAAAAAAATAGATAATATACATGTATACATAACAGCAACCTTGTAATTTTGGTAATAATTTTCAAACAAAAAGTTGAACTAAAATAAAGATAATATAATCTAAACACAAACTCATTGACTAAAAAAAG